TTTCATAATATTAGGAAATATTCTGACTGAATATTTCTTCCCATATTCTTCCCTCATTTTTTATCCTGGACTCCAGTTACACATATGTTAGATCACTTGATACTATATGATAAATCACTGAGGCTCAGATCATTTGTTTTTTGATCTTTTTTCTCTCTGCTTCATTTTGGATAGTTTCTAATAATATCTTCCAGATCATCTTTTTTCTTCTGTAGTATCTGTTAATCCCACCTGATGGAAATTTCATTTCAGATATTCTATCTCTTGCAATTCTTTTTGGCTCTTTACATCTTACATTTGTATCCTCATTATGCTCAAGTTTTTCTTCTCTGAGGTGGTCACTATTTATGAAAAATATTTCACATATCCATGATCCTCTCCATTCAGAAGTTCTTTTACACAATGCCATAAGGCTTGACTGGTCATTTGACTCTCCCATCCTGTGAATGGCCCCACAGATAGCCTCAGTTTTAAACTGGCCTTTGAACCTGCCTGTCCTTTTGTCAGCCTTGGCCAGGTTCATCTGGATGGTCCTTGGTACTGATGATACAGTTGCTGGTGGAGCATTTCCATGGCAAGTACAGGTCCACAAACTTGCCAGCATCATTCTTCACGCTTAGGGTGCATGTGGTGACACCACAACTAGTGTGAGAGCAGAAAGGAAGTGCCACATCCTCTGGCAGCACTGATGTTCATGCTTTTTTAAAAAATCTCTGAGCATACTTTCAACATTTAAAATAGCTGTTTTAAAGTTATTTTCTGTTGATTTCCTCATCTCTTTCACTTCTGGGTCTGATTCTATTGGCTGATTTTCCTCCTGATTATGGCTTACATTTTCCTGCACCTTCATGTGTGTATTAATTTTATTGGTTGCTAGACATGGTGAATTTTACCTTACTAATACTGGATTTGTTTTTAATTTAAGGGGTGTCAACCTTTTTTCTGGCAGGCACTCATAATGTCTTCAGATCAGCTAATATTTTACTAATCTTGAAAATACTAATATTTTCAAGATTAGTTTTCAAGATGTTTAGGCTGTGTCTAGATTACTTTTCTTTCTAGATCTAGTTTAGCTTACTTCTGGAATCTTTCAAAAATGCACTATTTACTCAATAAGATTTTCTCCACTCTGAATGGTGTGAACTCAAATGATTCTTAACCCCATTTGAACTCTGTGAAATGTTTGGTTTAAGGTCCCCATTAAATTTTCTTTCCCTAGCAGCTGTCCTTGCCTGGCCTCCACAATGATCAGATTGATAATTAGCCAGAATCTCCAGGGTGTGAAAATTCTGGATCTCTATTTCTCTCTCTTTCTACTTTCTTTTTGCACTCCCTGCTCTTTGGTACCCTATGCTGTACATTCTTACTTGCCTCTGCCTTGCCAAGCTACGATCTCTGTCTCCTCAGCTTAAAATGACCATCAGACTGTTTCCTCCTCTGCCCTGCCGTCTGGTCATTTTGTCCAAAAAGAAAGCTAGAGTGATTTCAGGGCTTACCTTATTTGTTTCCCTTCTCTCAAGGATCATAGTTGCAAACTTCCTGTTGCCCAGTGTTTTAAAACATTCTTTTTTCATATGTTTTTTCCCAGGTTTTTCTTTTTTTTAATCTTTTTTTTCAGTTGTTTAAAGTGCTAGGGCAAGTCCCATATCAGTTATCTCTCACAGGTGGAAACAGAAGTCTATCTGGTTTAATTTTTTTGTTTTTGTGTTTTCTTTGTTTCGCTTAGTTCCCTGTTTTAGTACCATGATTTTGTCAAGGTTTTAGCTTTTCCCTAACGATGCAAATATCATTCACCCTATTTTATATTCACACTGAATGAACTATGGCTATCACTGGGGAGAGGGAAGGAGTGAGGGGTAGTATAGAAGTAGGAGAGGGAAAAAAAGGTTATTATAGGATTGTATGAAATCAGCTGTGTGATACTTTGGAAAATTGTAAAGCACTGACTCTTTCATTCAATAAAAAAATAATTTAAAAACATCAGTAGTGCACAAGCTGCAACTTTAATCATTTGAACATAAGCAAAAGTGATGGAAAATACAGACCTTCTGTAGAAGCTTTCACAGTAAGTGTATACTTTTGAAAAAGAAAAAAACTGCAATTGTATACAGTAGCTCTTTGTGTAACTTAATCTACTTATAAAGCTATTTTCATTTATAGAGTTGTATTGTCTCCATGGTTACCAGTCATTTCCAAGAGCAGAATGTTTTAAGAATATGCACTGGCAAGCAGAGTAAACATGCTTTGAAAGGCTCAAAATGCAGCGTGAGTTATTACGCTGCACACTTCTATTCTGCATAAGGGCACATGGCCCAACAGCTCCGCTCTCTCACTGGCTGTCCTACCCTGGGTGGCTGCTATCAAATGGACCTATTCAAACAAAGCTGAGGCACTCCATTTGTCACTTCCTGTCTTTGGTATGGATTTTTCTGAGTGAAATTTTTTATCTCTTGCCCCATTTATTTTTATATTTCCTACTTATAGGCAGTTAAAGAGCAATACAGGTTTTGGAGTCAAACAGACCTGGGGGTTTCAAGGATTAGCTTCATTTCTAGTCTCTGACAGGTTTTTTTGTTCGCTTGCTTAAACTCATCTACAAAATGGGAACATCAGTATTTAACTGGCGAGACAGTTCCAGGAGCTCGAGAAGGGTTGTGAGTGTGGCCCACTGCCTGACACACAGGGCCTCCTCAAAAACTGGTAGCTTTGACTACTGTTACTTTCATCTGGATTTCACCTAAGTTGACATTTTGCCCAAATATGGCAAATTTGTAAACAGCATTTTGCTTTCATAGTACTGTCAACACTAATTACAACAGTTTAATGGGCTAGTTAAATGAACTGACACTGATTTTAATGCCCCAGCAGTTACTACTATGGAAGGCTGAAGTATCCAACGTCAAGACAAAGATTTAGGTTCCAACTTCCCTTCCATAAGATTTTTTTCTTTTTTGAGGTGAAATTCACTAACATAAAATTAGTCATTTAAAAGTATGCAATTCAGGGACTTCCTTGGTGGGTCAGGGGCTAAGATTCTGCACTTTCAATGCAGGGAGTCCAGGTTCAATCCCTGGTCAGGGAACTATATGTCACATGCCACAACTGAGAGTTTGCATGCAGCAACTAGAGATCCCGCGTGCCACAACCAAGACTTGGTGCAGCTAAATAAATAAGCAAATATTTAGTGATTAAATGAAAGTATAGATTGAGTAGTATTCAGTATTCACAAGGCTATACAGATACCACCTCTATCCGGTTCCAGCATGACTATCCTGTAGTCATCCTCCTGCCCCAGCCCCTGGCCACCACCAGTTTGCATCCTGATAGATTTACTTATTCAGGATACTTCATATAAATGGAATGATATAATGTGTAGCCACTTGTGTCTGACTTCTTTCATTTAATATATTATTTCTGAGATTTATCAATGCTGTAGCATTGCTTTATTCTTTTTATGGTAGATTACATTATATTGTATGGATATACTATATATTGCTTATCAAGTCATTCCTTGCTGTACATTTGGGTTGTTCCCAACTTTTTTGACCATTGCAAAAAGTGCTGCTATGAATATTTATGTATATGTATTTGAGTTAGTTCAGTTCAATCCCTCAGTCGTGTGTGACCCTTTGAGACCCCATGGCCTGCAGCACTCCAGGCTTCCCCCATCACCAACTCCTGGAGCTTGCTCAAACTCATGTCCATCAAGTTGGTGATGCCATCCAACCACCTCATCCTCTATCATCCCCTTCTCTTCCTGCCTTCAGTCTATCCCAGGATCAGGGTCTTTTCAAATGAGTCAGTTCTTCACATCAGGTGGCCAAAGGATTGGAGTTTCAGTTTCAGCATCTGTCCTTCCAATGAATATTCAGGACTGATTTCCTTTAGGATGGACACGTTTGATCTCCTTGCAGTCCAAGGGACTGTCAAAAGTCTTCTCCAGTACCACAGTTCAAAACATCAGTTCTTCAGTGCTCAGCTTTCTTTATAGTCCAACTCTCACATCCATACATGACTACTGGAGAAACCATACGTTTGGCTAGATGGACCTTTGTCGGGAAAGTAATGTCTGTGCTTTTTAATATGCTCTCCAGGTTTGTCATAGCTTTTCTTCCAAGGAGCAAGCGTCTTTTAATTTCATGGCTGCAGTCACCATCTGCAATGATTTTGGAGCCCAAGAAAATAAAGTCTCTCACTGTTTCCGTTGTTTCCCCATCTATTTGCCATGAAATGATGGGACCAGACATCAGGATCTTTGTTTTCTGAATGTTGAGTTTTAAGCCAACTTTTTCACTCTCTTTTACTTTTATCAAGAGGCTCTTCAGTTCCTCTTCACTTTCTGCCATAAGGGTGGTGTCATCTGTGAATCTGAGGTTATTGTTAATTCTTCTGGCAGTCTTGATTGCAACTTGTGTTTCATCCAGCCCAACATTTCGCATGGTCTACTCTGCGTATGAGTTAAATAAGCAAGGTGACAATATACAGCCTTGATGTACTCCTTTCCCAATTTGGAACCAGTCTGTTGTTCCATCTCCAGTTCTAACTGTTGCTTCTTGACCTGCATACAGATTTCTCAGGAGTATTTGAATGCCTGTTTTCAATCCTTTTGGGTATATGCTGCTGCTGCTGCTAAGTGGCTTCAGTCATGTCCGATTCTGTGCGACCCCATAGATGGCAGCCCACCAGGCTCCCACGTCCTTGGGATTCTCCAGGCAAGAACACTGGAGTGGGTTGCCATTTCCTTCTCTATTTGGGTATATATTTACACCCAAAAGTGTGAGTGGGTCATATAGTAATCCTGTATTTAACTTTTGGAGGGTGCTTTTGGCTTTTTTCCCCCAAAGGGAAAGGTACAGTCAGAGGAAGGGGACCTACCAGATAGCCAGTCCAGTTTGTGCCTACTCCTCTCAGGCAACCCTTGACTTTGTCTTTAACCTCTCTGTCCGGCAGAGAATGGTGAGTACTATGGCTCCCTTACACACCTGGCCTCTCTTCCCTAGGGCTGTGTCTGGCTGTCCCTGAGAAAACTGTGAGATGGTGCACCGTCTCGAATCTTGAGGCTAGTAAGTGCTATAGTTTCCACAGCAATATGAAGAAAGTCCTCTCAGTGGATGGTCCTCAGGTCACCTGTGTGAAGAGAACGTCTTACCTTGATTGCATCAGGGCCATCGCGGTAAGTCACTGCTGCCTAAGAAGAGTGGGGGAAAATCCATACTTTCTTGTTCTTTTTCTGTACTTGCTATAGTCTATTGCTCTAGAACAATTTTCTCCCCAAAGGAACTAGACTTGAAAGTACAGAGACTGTGTGTAGATGAAAATATAGGTGCTCAACATTCATTAATAGTGAAAACAGCAATATTAATAATATTTAAACAACTGATAGGTAAGGATTCAGTGAGAATGCCCATAGTAAAGCAAAGCCAGATTTATACTGAAAGAGAAATGTATAAATACTCATAAATAAACAAGAAGTTTTAGTGTCACTGTTATTACTTAATATTGTTTTTGGGATTTCCTAGTAATGCAATGATATAAAATGATAGAAACAAACAAAATGTCAATATTTTCAGATGCTTACATGCCTATAAAGCATAATGAAATCAAGAGAAGTACTACTATAATTATTAATGAAAAAAGTACTTTGGTAAAAGATAAATATATCACAATTTAATGTCATTTTAACTGTCAGTGGTCACTAGTTGGGGAAAAAGAACCCCAAATTATGATCTTATTTACATGTAAGATGATATACAGAAAAATGTTTCGGGGAAAAAATTATATGAGAGATCTGCAAGATTACTATAAATATAATACAAAAGCCTGAGGCAAATGAACAGTATTATTCATAAATCAAAACATATGCCATATTCCCAGATAGGAAGACTAAACTTCATATATTTGCATATTCTCCCAAAGTTGATTCATAAATTTAATATAATTTTATCAAAATTATATTAAAAAATTTTTAAGTCAATAAAATAACTTTGCAATTCTTAAGTGTGGATGAGAATATAAAATAGTATTATGAAAATTAAAATGAGCAGGGGAGTAGCTGAGGGCTGTCTGAAACTAGAATATATTTAATAACAGTATCGCAAAGAACAAGGTACTTGGACAGATGTAGAAGACCTGGAAGAGAACAAGATTTAGACATATTTCCAGCTTTCTAAAAATAGCTAATTATCCACATGATATGATATAGATGCAAACTATGAATGTCCAGCACTATGACATTGGGTTCCAGACTTAATGGTTAGATCCACATAGATTTAGACACTGTGTGACAAGGCAAACTTTCCAAACAAAAGACCAAGAAAGGATTGTTTGGTTGGACAATTGGATAGCTATTTAGAAATAAAATCAACCGAGATTTTTAATACATTTACCAAAATAAACTGCTAGCTTGACTCAATTTGGCTAATGTAGCTGGATATAACGAGATACATCACAAAAGTAGACAAATTTGGAAATGTAAAAATTTTAAGTCTCTGACAAAAAAAAAAATTAAAGTCTTATGCCTACAGAAAAGTATATTCACATCAGCTATAACAAAGCAGTGTGATCTAAAAGCTATATAAAGATGTCATTTAAATTTATAAGAAATGCTTAATAACAAGCTATAAACAAGCTACTCACAGAAATTACAACTAATAGATGATATAAACAAGGAAGCAAAATTCTTCATCCTTTTTAATAATCAAAGAAATGCAAATAAAAGCATCCTTAAAGTAACAGTTTATATTTTTTAATGTAGTATTATTTCTTAAAAGATGGCATTTCTTGCTGATAGTTTTGCATGAAATTGGCATGCATTGCTAATTATACATTATAAATTATAATTTATACATCATTTCTGGAAAAAATTTGGAAAGATCCTGTAAGGGTCATAAAGATACACACAGCTTTTATTTATTTTCTGTAATTCTCATTATAAATTATAAATTTGTATGCTGTGCTATGCTTAGTTGCTCAGTAATGTCTGACTCTTTGTGACCCCATGGACTGCAGCCCACCAAGCTCCTCTGTCCACAGAGATTCTCCAGGCAAGAATACTGGAGTGAGTTGCCATGCCCTCCAGTTGAAGAAAAAAGATTTCCATAAGGGCTAGGGAAATGGTCTAACCTGATTTTTTTTCCCTATATTTTATTTATTTATTATTTTTTTTTATTAGTTGGAGGCTAATTACTTTACAACATTGTAGTGGGTTTTGTCATACACTGACATGAATTTTTGAGAAGAGGGTGTGAGGCTACTGCTTTTCTCAGGAAGGAAGGAACCCTTGACAGATTCTTGAAGAGGCAATCCAGACTTAAGAGTGTAAAACATGACTCTTTTGGATGGAAATGCCAGATGGAAATGGAGAAGAGGGCGACAGAGGATGAGATGGCTGGACAGTATCACCTACTTAGTGGACATGAACTTGGGCAAACTCTGGGAGACAATGATGTGCAGGGAGGCCTGGAGTGCTACAGTCCATGGAATCAGAGTCGAACACGACTTGGTGACTGAACAACGGCAACATGGATGGAGATATTCTGATTCATTCACTCACTTGTCCAGGACATTTGTTGTACTCCTATCGGTAATAGGTGCCGGGCTTTGTTAAGATAAAACAACAGAACACTGACATCCCCACCTTGCTGGAGCTTGCATTCCAAAGGGGAGGACAAACAATAAATGAAGAAGGTTTGTCAGATGGTTGCTAAGGGCTCAGGAGAAAAACAGTGTTTCCAGCATTTGTGAGGTGGTAGTTTTAAAGCATGGTTGGGGAAAGGTTTTTGAGCCAACATGAGGAAGGTGGAGGAGGTCTGAGCTGTGCAAATATCCCAGGGGATACAAGTGACCCTGGCAGAGGATTAAGTGAGTCTTCCTTGGAGCTGAGAGGCTTCATTCATGCCTGGCCTTTCGTCTTCCAGGCACACGAAGCAGATGCTGTGATGGTGGATGGCGGTTTGGTCTATGAGGCAGGCCTGAGGCCCTACAACCTGAAGCCTGTCGTGGCAGAGTTCTATGGGTCAAAAGATGGTGTGTCCCCCGTGAGGACCCGGGTCTCTGTCCTGACACAGCTGCTGTGGGGGGAGGCAAGGACTCTGTCGGTGTTACACTTGCAGAGAACAAGTTGCTGGGGCTCTTTGTACTGTGGAAGGCTGTCCCCAGTGCTGACCTGTGGGGGCTGGGACCTTGGCTCTTTCTGGGAAGCTGTGAACTTTAAGCCTCCTGATGGGAATGCTGCTGGGTCCTGCTGAGTGAGGGGGGATGTGCTGTCCGGAGTCCACTGCCCACTCAGTGGGGTTGCATCAATGGGACGCCTCTCTGGAGACACATATCCCTGGACAGCCTCTCCTTTTGCCAAGTCCCCTGCAGGTGCTAGAGAGCATGGGCAGTGAATGTTGTGAGAAGGGACTTTAAAGAGCTGAAGAATGAGGTGCCTGTCCTATTTGTCCATAAATGTCACCAGTGTGTGCTGGAGCACAGCTTGCCTCAATCTGAGTCCAACTTGCAGGCCCTGGCAAAATGTTTGGATGCCCTGTGTACCTTCCTCCCACACCTTCATCTTGTGGCTGTGCTGCAGACAGAGGAGCAGAGAAGGGGAGAAGCAGTAACATCACAATGACTGGGAGCTGTAGGTCCTCCAGTCTATTGCCTTGAAAAGGGACAGTTTGCTTTCTTCAGCCGATCAGGGGCCTTTCCCTTTACTTTTCTACCTGTTTACTAGAAGGTGCTGCAGATCCTAGACTCCCCCAGGCTCCACTGCACACACTCTGGAAGTTTGGTAGCAATGATGTGGCATCTTGCCTCGGCCCTTCTTTCTCTGCTGCTTTGCAGATCCACAGACTCACCATTATGCTGTAGCTGTGGTAAAAAAGGGCAGCAACTTCCAGCTGAATCAGCTCCAAGGCAAGAAGTCTTGCCACACAGGCCTGGGGTGGTCTGCCGGCTGGAACATCCCCATGAGGATACTTCTTCCCTCTGACTGGTCCCAGGAAGGTAAGCTAGCCAAGGTGGGGTGCCCTTGGGCAGGGTTCCTATTACTGGGACTCACAGATTGTATTGGGGCATTGCAATCATTGCCAGGTGTACGGGTTTCATAAAGTCCAAGATGGGGTGAGGACAACTTGCTTTAAAAATGTACTGGCTGGGTTTGCTACATCAGTGACCCTTGTGACTGGCAGCTGAGACTTCCCTTCCTTCAGCCAAAGAGCCCCTGTCTCTGAGCTCCTGGCAGTCCCACATTCGTGGTATCCCAGCAGTGGGGTTTGACAAGGGCCATGGTGGAGGCTCATGAGAAAGGGGAGCTCCCTTCCAGCTGCCCAGGAAGACTCTCTAAGGGTGACCACCATACCACCAGCAGTCGGGCCACAGTGCCTTGGGTGAGGGCTGGGGGTGAAGGTGAGAGGAGATGAGCAGACCAGAGCTCAGTTATGATGAGCCAGTGTGAACCGAGGGTGCCTTTTTGTCCCCTGAAAGATAGCCAGATTTTCTGCCCTTTGCAAAAGTGTTTATTTTTGAGCTCTGCCAGCTCTGCAACATTCATGTTTCACCTGTGTTTTGGGCTGCAAAGGTCAGATGGGGTGCTGCAGCCTGGGCCACAGCTCTGGCTATATTTTCTTGGGGTTCCATCTTGCCTTGAGTTGTTGGACGTCTGTCTGGGTGGTTATGTTGGCACACCCACTCGCATGAAGCAAGTGAATGCAACCCCCTCCCATGAATTCCTGGAAGAGGGATCCCCATGAGCCACCAAGGGCCCTGGATCAGAAGAGGAGAAAACTGGATGGGACCATTTCCTGAGATAAGGAAGGACTGTTGGGGTTCCTGAGTGTTTAGATTTCTGTGCTCCCCACCACCACTCCCGAGCCTCTGTGTTGGTGACTAAGCCAGGTGAGGAGCACTGGGGCTGCCTGGTTCAGTGCAGCTCAGCAGCTTTGGAGCCCTGCAGTGGACACGCTGGGAAGCTTCTGGAGACCCAGGCCCACACGGGAGCCATCCATGCCTTTGCACCAGGCACTGTTGGCCACCTCTACGTGCCCACTTCCTCACGACAGTCCGAAGCAGTGCATTCAAACATCTGCACTCTCACATAGGGCTACACACACACACACACACACACACACACACACACACACACACGACTTCTGGAGACCCAGGCCCACACGGGAGCCATCCATGCCTTTGCACCAGGCACTGTTGGCCACCTCTACGTGCCCACTTCCTCACGACAGTCCGAAGCAGTGCATTCAAACATCTGCACTCTCACATAGGGCTACACACACACACACACACACACACACACACACACGACCCAGAGGCCCCGCCAGCTCATGCCCTGAAGTCCACGTGTCTGTGTTGAGCAGCAGCGGCCAAGTTCTTCGTGGGCAGCTGCGTCCCCTGTGCGGATCAGTCGAACTTCCCCCAACTGTGCCAACTGTGTGCGGGAAAAGGAATGGACAAGTGCGCCTGCTCCCACCACGAACCGTACTTCGGCTACTCGGGGGCTTTCAAGTGAGTGGGGCCCCCTTCTCCTCCTCTCTCTGATTTTGGGGAAACTGAAGAACAGGGAGTAGATGGGGCCTGCTCCAGACCACCTGAAGTGTCCTGGTGAAACCTTGGGTTTTTTGACTGTCTCCCACGGCATATCCTTGTTCCTGCCTGTCCTACAGAGGACTCTTCTGTGTGGGGGGGCTGTCATCTACCCAGAACCTGGTGTCTGGACCAGGGAGGCCCCTGGGATCCATAGACACAGGCTTGACCACCCAGCCAGGCCGAAGATCAGGTCCTGCCCCGAGCCCTTCACTGGCTTCTCTCTGCCTGAGCATTTCTCCATGCCGGGTATATGTGCTGCGTCTCCCCACCTCCTCCTCAGCCCTGTGCCCGAAGGCACCTTTCCATTCAACATGCCTGCAAGGGACATCACTAACTTTCGAAACCCAAGCAAAACTGACCAGATATCCAGGCTGTCTAGAGTTTTTATACTCTGTGCTGTGCTGTGCTAAGATACTTCAGTCGTGTCCGACTCTCTGCAACCCTATGGACTATAGCCTATCAGGCTCCTCTGTCCATGGGATTCTCCAGGTGAGAATACTGGGGTGGGTCCTCTATGTAAAAGGCTTTTGACCTAAAAAAAAAAAGTACAAAAACCCTATTGTTTCAGGCTGCCTACAAAGAGGAAGGTGAGGGTCCTTCTTTTGAACCATCCCTCCCCAGAGTTGCCTGGGACAGGGCTCATGGGGCTCCTGCCTATTTCAAACCCGGGTTTGGCTCTGGGGGTTCAAAGACTCCTCAGACAGGGCCGTTGCCTCTGCAAGGACAGACTGAAGCCTGGGCAACTGCAGGTGAAGCCCTGTGAGCCAGTTGCTGGGGCAGAGCATGAGGGGGGCTGCTGGCGGGGTGGGGGGTGAGCCTATGTTGTAGACAGTGGCCTGACCACAGCTGTCCTGTTGCTCAGGTGTCTGCAGGACGGTGTGGGGGATGTGAGCTTCGTGAGGCATCTGACGGTATTTGGTAAGTCAGATGGAGGAAGAATCTTGTGGCCACACCCTGGCCAGAGGAACTCCTTCTTTCCTAAGTTTCCTTATATCTAGAGATGGGTCATGCCAAGATCTTTAAGTTTCTGTATAATGACACTTCCATTATTTGTGCTTTGTTTAGTGTTCAGTTTGTTCAGTTTATAAATCTACTGAACAAATTTTCTGAACATTTAAACATTCAGTTCAGTCACTCAGTCATGTCCGAATCTTTGCGACTCCATGAATCGCAGCACGCCAGGCCTCCCTGTCCATCACCAACTCCCAGAGTTTACTCAAACTCATGTGCATCGAGTTGGTGATGCCATCCAGCCATCTCATCCTCTCTCGCCCCCTTCTCCTCTTGCCCCATTTAAACATTACTTAACAACTAATAAAGCAAAGTTTAATAATTAGATTCTGTTAGTCACTGAAATGCCAAATTCAGATCTAATCATGATCTCCTGAATGCTTCCTTATAAACGGTTCCTAAATGTTTTCTTTAGTCACCTTAAACAAATAAATTCTTATAATGATTGCAGAACTTGTTAGCACATCTACAATTAAATCTATTGCAAAGCATTACTATTGTGGACAAAAATGTATTTCTTTTTTATTTCTATGTTAAAAAAAAAACCTTTTCAAAGTTTTGGGCAATTTATCAGAAACAAATAAAATAGTGTTTTATATGAGTTCAGTTTTCAGATCTAGGTTTTATAACCAGTTAAATTTCTATCAGACATAGAACACGTTTGTAACACTTAAGATGTTTAAACAAGAGATGTATATTTTATACTCAGTTTATTTTTAAAATCACTGTCTGCTACCTCAAGCAGAATTTTGAGGCTTCACTTTTTTGGGGGGCCTTGATTTCTTGCAGACTGGTCTCTTTCCCTAACATGAAACAGAAGTGTACTGGCTTTGTTCCCTCACCTCAGCCGTTCATAATTTACTGTTCCCTCATTATAATACACTGACCTGGTTTGTTAGCCTTTTGCCAATTGATGTGTGTCTTATTATCAGTAATTTTCATTAGTAGGGGAATCTATGGGTCTCTTCTCCCAAAATCAAGTTACTCTCAATAGTCGTCATTGTTATTTTCTGTGATTGCTCAAGTTGGAAAAGTTAGGCCAATGGACAGAATCTTCTAACACTCACTCTGGAGAGCTGAAAACATCCTCACTTTCTGAAAACAACCAATTGTCTGAGACCATCTAGATTTCCCTTTGCTGAAAGTTGTATGTCCACTATTACACACAATCCTGTGTTGCCTTTTAAGTGGGAGTTTCTGAGAGACTATCTACTGGGCTTAGGGGTGAAAATGAGTCTTGGTGAGCTGCTGCCAGCACTGAGCCCTAGAAAGACTGAGGTGGGAACGTTCTTTCTTTCTGAAACTATTAGATCATATTGTTCTTTTAATTTTAACATTACAAAATTTGTTTAAATTTTTCTTTTAATATAAAGCTTTAAAATGTATTTTCTCTGCAACATGTCTGGTTAAATGGAACTGTTCATAGGTACTCTAATTGTACTACTCATTCTCTTTCAGTATAAGATTTTATCAACCTAAGATATGAGTTTTCTAGGGTTGCCATTACAGAGTACAGTCATCTCTCAGTTTACCAGCATTTGCAGGTTGTCAAGTCCCTTACATAAAACTGTGCAGTATTTGCATACAACCAGTGCACATCCTTCACATGCTTTTAATCATTTCTATAGTCCTTATAATACTTAATCAATGTAAATGCTATGCAAATAGTTGCCTCCATGGAAAATTCAAGTTTTGCTTTATGGAATTTCCTGGAATTAAAAAAGAAATCTTTGCAGATGTGGAACCTAGAAATACAGTGAGCGGCTGTAACACACTGAGTGGCTTAAGCAACAGAAATTCATTCTCTGAGTTCTAGAGGCTAGAATTCTAAGATTGGGATGTTGGCAGGGCTGGCTCTTCCTGAGGGCTGTGAGGGAGAACCTGTTCTATGCTACCCACCCCTGTGGCTTCTGATGTTTGCTGGCAATCTTTGGTGCCATTGGCCTGTGGTTCCATCACCCCAATCTCTGTCTTTCCCTCCACATGGCGTTCTCCCAGTGTGTGTGTGTCTGTTTGTGTCCAAATTTCCCCTTTTAGGAAGGATACCAGTCATATGGGATCAGGAGTCACCCTACTCCACTATGACCTCATCTTTTTGTTTGTTTCCAAAAAATCTTTATTTACAAAAACAGACAACAAACCAGACTTTGCACAAGGCTGTAGTTTTCCAACCACTGCTCTATCCTGTTTAATGTATTTGTCTATCTATGCATCAGTGCTAAATGGCTTGAATTATAGTTTTTAAGTAATGTTTCACATCTTCTAAGCCCAGCTCTGCTTCAACTCATTTTTCTTTTTCTCCAAAATGTCTTATTATTCTTGGTACATTGCAGTTCCATATAGATTTTTTTCTGTTTTTTTTTTTTTTTAGTTGACTAAAGTCTACACTTTCCTAACTTTTTACCTAATGTGTTTTTCTGTGCTGTATTCTAAGATTCCAGTTACAACCTCATCTTAACTAATAACCCCTATACTGTCTCTATTTCCAAATAAAGTCATATTTTGAGCTGCTGGGGATTAGAACCTCAACATATGAATTTTAGGAGGACACAGTTCAATCCAGAATACCTTCTAATACCTAGACTAGGGGAGCCAAAGAGTCTGTTTTCCTCACATGGTTTTTTGGTCCTTCTTTGTACCTGTATAGTATCCTGACTGGATCCATTGGCCTCCATCTCTCAACCCACTGCCACCTTCCCCCAGCAGACTCTGTCCCCAGAGGAGTATTGCCACTTTAGTGAGGGACCTGAATTGTCCCCGCAGCATGGCTCTGTGTCAGCCCCAGACTAGGTCAGACTTTGATGAGTTCCCTTAATCCTTCGAGCCTCAGTCTCCTCATCTCTGCAATGAGATAATCACATTACCAGCCTCCCCCAGTTGTTATGAGGATTAAATGAAACAGAGCATAGAGAGCTTCAGCTCAGTCTCTGGTGTGCTATGAGCTCTCAGAAAGCATTTGCTGTCACCATTCTTGTTAGCAGAGCCCTGGGCAGAGCATGCGACCCAGCCCCGCGTCTCTCTGCAGTGAGAATCTGTCATTTCATCTCCAGAGGGCTCAGCATCCTCACCTGTCTAAATGTATTTGGAAAAGATTCTCTTTTAGTCGTCTCCAGGCTGTTAAAAAATGATGAAAGAAGACAGTTCAGGTGATATAGACTTTAGCACTTCTTGAAGTGGGCCATTCAGTCTCCAGAGAACTGCAAAACTGCAGAAGGCAGGAAGCTTTGATGGGATAAAGAATAAAGAACAATGAAGAGAAAAACATAATATCTGATTGGCCAGAGTCACTTTGCCCAGGGTGAGAAGAAAGAAGGAAGGAGGTATAGCGCCCAGAGTTAGTTTGGCCTTGGATGCCTGGCTGACTGGATAGACTGCATTTCTATTAAGCAGAACATTTACAGGCACAGGAAGTTATCTAAGTTTCCATGGTGATGCAGCATCACAGACAGGAGTGGCTTCATCTTGGGATTGGCAAGCTATTTCAACAAATCCCTAATCAAATACTTTGGGAGGGGTGGGCACCACAGCTCATGGTCTGCCGGCTGTCGGCTCATGTAGGCTTCCCTCCTCTAGAGAACCTGGCTAACCAGGCCGACAGGGACCAGTATGAGCTGCTCTGCAGGGAAAACACCCGGATGCCTGTGGACGCATACAAGGGGTGCCATCTGGCCCGGGTCCCTTCCCATGCTGTCGTGGCCCGAAGTGTGGATGGCAAAGAAGACTTGATCTGGGAGCTTCTCAATCAGGCTCAGGTATCCCTGCCCCCTGTCTTCCCCTCCTGCATGGGGTCCTTGCTTGGATTTGGGGTGCTTTCCCTCACTCTCTTCCAGCCACTGTGGAAGTCCTGGTATTGGGCACAGTGGGAACCACACCACATGTCCTCCGCTTCACTGACCAGAACTTGGTCTGGATATGTGATGGGCAGCAGTGACCATAAAACTCCCTTCCTTGGCATCACCAACACCATGGGCCAAAGACTCTGCAGAAGGCCACTGTTGCCCCATTTTATTCTTCTAGGTTGTATAGGGATCCTCAAGCTGCAATGCAGATGCCCCTTTTCCAGGAGCTGCTCCCCTCTCATCCCACTGGCCTGGACCCCTCAGCAGCAGGTTCTGACTGTGAGCGTTTAGTGTCCTGCGCTGTAGGCCCTGCCTCCCAGCGCACCCACATCTGTCACCTGTCCCATATATGCAGAAGCCATTGCAAAAGCAAAAAGGAGACATTGCAAAGAGCATGTGGGTAGGTGCTACTGTCAGCTACCATCAGGAGCAGCTTTGGGCCAATCAGTGGGGTTACAAGCAAAGGCCTCTTGGTTTTCTGGGAGGGCCAGAAAGAGTAAGGGACTGATTGAAGTCCTTCATGGCAGGCCTGGGGTGTCAGGTGCACCTAAGGCTCGTGACCCCCAGGCTAGATGGTCCTGGATCAACACCCACTCCAGGATGAAGCCCACAGGAGCCACTCAGGACAATCAGATGTCCAGCAACAAGGTCACCATCATTGGCTGCCCCACCCGTGGGAACAGAGCATAGGAGATGGAAGCTTCCTGACCCATGGTGACCATTACCCTTTGTACAGACCTGGGGGACAGCCCCTGGCAGTTTCCCTGAGGCTGCACAAGGCAGACAAATTGGGATTTGAGTGAAGTGTTTGCTGAAGAAGATTTGAGAACCCTGTAAGTCACAGGGATTTTGAAGGGTCTTGCCATGGTCTTCACTCTCAGGCATTCGTATTTCTCTCCCTTTCTATTCCCCTGAGTTGGGGATTTGTTTTTACTTTGCTTCTCTCTGCCAGCCTCCATCTTTTACTATTTCTTTTATCCCTTGAACAGGAACACTTTGGAAAAGACAAGTCAGCAGAATTCCAACTCTTCTACTCTCCTCATGGGAAAGACCTGCTATTTACAGATGCCACCATTGGGTTTTTAAGAGTCCCACCTAAGATGGATGCCAAGCTTTACTTGGGATATGAGTATTTCTCGGTTATTCAGCATCTGGGGAGAGGTGTGTAAGGTCCTGGAAAGGCCTGGAGAGCTTGGGCATAGGGAAGGGCGGGGCCGTGGAAGCTTTCCTGGGGCCTGCAAGCCCCACCTCACCCAACCCACACTGGCTTGCGGGGTTCAAGGGAGGGCCAACTGTGCTGGGTTCTTGTGGGGATGTTCTGCTGAACTTGGGAAAAGGCCTGAACCTGGGGCCACAAAAGGTTTGAAAGACCTTCAGATTACATGTAACTTAAGTAATGACGGGGGCTTCCCTCATAGCTCAGTCGGTAAAGAATCTGCCTGCAATGTAGAAGACCCTGGTTTGATTCCTGGATTGGGGAGATCCTCTGGAGAAGGGATAGGCTACCCACTCAAATATTCTTGGGCTTCCTTTGTGGCTCAGCTAGTAAAGAATCTACCTGCAATGTGGTAGACCTGGGTTCAATCCCCAGGTTGGGAAGATCCCCTGGAGAAGGGAAAGCTACCCACTCCAGTATTCTGGCCTGGAGAATTCCATGGACTGTATAGAGTCAGACATGATTGAGTGACTTTCATATTTAAGTAAGGAGAGTCCTGTCTCCTTTATGTTAGCCAGGCTTGCCCCACCCCACAGCGGGTCTATTTGACAAGGAATAGAGCCCATCCTAAACTGGAGTGGGAACACAGCCTCTGCCACCACCAGGATCAGAGCTAGAATTTCAGAGAGTTTGGGACTTCCCAGGTGGCACTAGTGGTAAAGAATCTGCCTGTCAATGCAGGAGACATGAGAGACTTGTGTTCGATCCCTGGGTCGGGAAGATCCCCTGAAGGAGGGCATGGCGACCCACTCCAGTATTCTTGCCTGAAGAATCCCATGGACAGAGGAGCCTGGCAGGCTACAGTCCATGGGGTCAGAGAGAGCTGGACACATCTGAAGTGACTGAGCACACACTGATCCAGCACACAGTGATCCAGCAAGCCCTGATCCAGCACTTGCTTTCCTTTGGTTGTCCATGCTTCCTTCCTCCTTCCTTTCTTTGTTTTTTCAGTAGTTATGGCACATCTGCCAAAGCCCTTGTGATTGATGTGGACATACTTGGTGGCAGGAGCAGGTGTGTGTGGGGGTGGGGGGGTGGAACAAGCAGGCCCGCCCAGGACAAATGACACTAGCTTCCAACTGGGGGATGCTCCCTGGATGGGAGATCTCCGTCCTGTGAGAAAAAAACCCAGAAGGCCCTGATTTGGGCTGGTGCTGTCAGAGGCTTCCCCTGGAGAGGTGATGTCTGAGTAGGGAGATCAGGAGTGGGCTTGCTCTGCCTTCGCTGCTCTGTCTGGGAGCCGAGTTGGCCATTTCTCCTGGAGGTGATATGTGGGAATAGGTGGTGACATGGGTGTGAGACATGTCAACTCTGCCGCTGCCAGGAAGAGCCCGGTTGGGCAGCCACTTGGAATCCTTCCCCGCTCTGGGGGCTTCTTTTGGATCTCTGGCTCTTCTCTAGCAGTCCCAGAGGCAGAAGATCCCCAGAGGGTGATGTGGTGCACAGTGGGCCATCACGAGCATGTCAAGTGTAACCAGTGGAGTGCGCTGAGTGGGGGCATCTTGAAGTGCACGATGGAGGAGAGCACCGAGGACTGCATTGCTGCCATCGCGGTAAGGAGCACCTGCTTCTGCAGTTGGGCTTGGACACTTGGACATGCAGCGCTGCTGTGCGTTTGGTGGTGGAGGCCCCTTCCCTGTGTCTTCCCATCAGCTATGAGGCTGAGACACGCCTGTTACATGCTGCCTCCCCCAGCCCCACTCTCTGAAGCCCCACCCCACTGGCCCCACCTCCCCCTTCAGCTCTGGCAGGGTAGAAACAGAGCAGCCCAGGACCCATATCTTCAGCTCAACTCTGGAGTCCAGGGAGCTCTGAGGGGTCCTGCCTAGGGTGCGGGGTGACATCCTGTGGTCAGAGCCCCTATGGATTGTGAAAGCAAATCAACCTTGTTGGTTCTCTGAACAGGTTAGACTTTTTTTTCCCTGTGATAAAATTATTACATGCTGGAAGAGAAATGAAAAATAATACATTTAATGCTAAATACCCGATAAGAGAGAAAAAAGTACTTTGCCAGCTTACCATGTAGAGATGTGTGAATGTAAATTTGGTGTTTGGTGTGCATTTGAGCATTTCCTTGATATTTTTACTCTGGGTCTTTGAAGTATTATGGTTGATTTCTACAAAGATGTTTCATTCCATATAAAATCTTCACACAGTTTCATCTTACATAATCATATTAAGCTTTGCAAATTCATATTGAAGAATCATGAGCTTTAAAAAAAACTTAAAATATGTGCGTTATTTTGAGGTGAATATATAGAGAGCTCTCCTAGTCACTACGATGTATGTTTAGTAAGAGAAAGGTCTGTGTGTTGTCCAAAATGTCCTTGCTAGGGATTCTGGTGAATCTTGCTGTTATTATAGTCCTTAAACACTGCAGGTACCTAAAGATGAAATTTCTGTGGTAATGTGGTGGTGGAGACTGTTCCTTTAAAACCACTTCCTGAATGTATAGTTTCAGCCACCAGCTCCAGTGTTCTGTTCCCGTTGTAGCTGACAGTCTTAGGAAGAGGCTATGGGGAGTAGCTCAGGTCCACAGTGATGAACTGCCTTAGAAACCTGACCCCTCAAGGTCCTGAGCAAGCCAGACTCTCTCCTTTAAAACACAGACTTGTATTTAATATGCTTAATTACTACTGCAGTAGTAGTAATTAAGTAACTCCACATGCAGATCTGGAAGAACCTAGAAGGTGATATTGGCCAGTATTTTCCCCCTTTTAAGTAGAGGACCAATGAACAAGATTTTTTTAAGTGTTTTTAATGTGCGTAAACAATGAATGAGTCAGTATGAAGTGACTAGGAGTCCCCTTCTTGTGTCCAAGCCATTAGTTGGTTAGGGTTTCATTTTGTTCTTTCTCTTTAGGGGTAAAGATGACCTTTTGAACCTACAAAATTTTTAAGTTGTAACAACTTGATGTCCTACTTTTTCCTTCTCACTAATGTCATTGTGATCATGTTCTTATTCCTTGAGACAACTTATGAAACAGCGAGGTAATTTAAAATTGCCTTTCATGTTGAAAAATTTGAAACTGAGAATCCCGTGATATTTAAAATATAGATTGAAATAACTGCTGCATAAGAGTCTCTTTTTAAAATTTTAGTTTTTAAGTTCTTAATTAAAACACCTTGTTGTAACATATTTCCTGTGTTTACTAAAAGCAATAATAGAATATTAAGTAACACCGGAATACTTCTGCTGGACTGAGGTGAATGAGACTAGGAATCTGTCCTTTTTCTTCCTTTTAAAACCACCTAAAAGACTGCTCTATTTATGAGGTGTCAAAATGCTTGTACTCCCCCACTGCCAGAAAATTCCCAAGTACCTATATACATTTCTTTTAAAGTCTACTAAAAGTAAAATAGGGTATAGTTTATCTGAATTGCTTATAATATAGTAAGCACACATTTGTGGTGCTTCTTATGAAATAGCTTTGTCATTGATTCATCAGATGTAGATTACTAGTAATTTGAAAGCTTTGAACACTTTGGTGAGCAAGTACTAACATTTCCTCTGATGAAGTTTCTGTCCAGCACGGCCTCGGCACCCAAGGGCCCCCTTTCTGTTGTACATTTTAGCTGTCTGAGTTTGCATGACCCAGCTGGAATGCACAACACAAGGGTGGCTTTTGGGTGCTGGGGCTGTGCTGAACATGAACCTTATCAGCGGAAATGTTAGTGCTTGCTCATCAAAGTGTTCAAATGTATTACTGGCAAAGAGGAAGAGGGGCCAAGCATATGTTAGAAGTGAAAACAACTGTCTTGTTGACTGCTTCAGTGAAAAATAGCTTAGTGGGCAGTTTTACATTTCACTGGACTAGATAAAAAATGGTGCTAATATTTATACAGTCTGATTCTGTAGTTGGTTTGGGATCAAACTGCCAAAGCCTGACTCATGGGTCCTTACCATAGTCTTGTGATCAGTTAAATAGCATTTAAAAAGTGATCCTAAAAGTGTGACCATGTATAATATTTGAAATGGATTTTGTGCAATAGGCTGAATAGGGAGCTGTCCACTTAGTACCAAATTCTGTGAGAGGAGCCATGTCCAGGGCTCAGGCCCAGGCTTCCTCCCAGCCTGGAAAGCCGCTCCTTCATTATTCATTTCCATTTTGAAAGTCAGGACACCTGCGTGATACACTAGAGGCCTCCTTTTGGATTTCTGTATAATTAGCAGAACTGTTTTTAAGAGCTGTCCCCCTGTGTTGCTGGGTATGTATTTTGAGCACTGCACTCACTTTAACATTCTGAAGGTACTAAGGCTGGGCACCCACAGTCACAGCGCTCAGGCGGTGGGAACTCACAGCTGTGTTTTCTAAGAACTGTGTTGCTTTTAGCTTGTATTTAATATTGCAGTTACTTGGAAAAATGTGAATAAAGTTCATTAATACTAAAAAAAAATTATTACATGCTGGAAGAGAAATGAAAAATAATATCATTTACAACTTCACAACTCAAAACTTATTATAATTTTTGAGTGATGGTGTTATGTTGTTAATAACTGTCCATTTTAATTTTGGAGATTAGAAAAAAATTATCAATAAAAGATGGAAAAATTGACAAACTTAGGAAACACTACAGTTTTTCTTCAAAAGATCATAATTGTGGTAAACCTCTCTGGGACTAACCCATAATACTAAGGTCTTGCAATTAATATAGTCTCCTGAATTTGTCAGTTATAAAGATTAAATGAATTTGAGTGCTTGTAACATTGCCTAGTGTGTAATAAGCAGTCAATAAATTTTAACAGTTGTTATTTCAATTCTTGAGCACAATTGGCACACTTTCTTAGGTAATGAAATACTCATTTTAAATGTTTTTAATGGCTGCATAATAGATCACCAAATATTTATGCCTCAATTTATTTAACCAATTTCTAATTGTCTATATTTGAATTATTTCTGAATCCTTGTCTATTATAGATAATATGTGATTGGATATTTTTGTTCTATGCCCATCAATATTTTTGAGTATCTCTTTAACATTAATGATGGTGAATATATCTGGAGTTACTTACTGTGTGCCATGCATGTGTATGAACTCTTAACTTGTATTAACTCATTTAATCCTCATGATAAGCCCATGAAAGAGATTTTTTTCACTCATTTGATGGATGAAAAAAATGTACATAGAAAGTATTTAGGGATGTGTCCTTTGGAACAGTCAGTCCCAGAGGCTGACACATTCCTTCGTGGTTATGAGCAGAGGCTAAGAAAATTAAACCGCCTGAGTTTGAATCTTAGTTTAAAATCTTATCCAATCATCTATTGGATAAACTACTTAGCTTCTCTCTGCTTCAGTTAAAAAATGTATAAAAGGGGGAGAATTATAGTACCCCCCCTTACTGGGTTCTGTGAGGGAGTACATGAGTAAATAGTGTTTAGAAAGGGCCCAGCACGTGGTAAGGTAAGCTTTTGCTTTTGTAGTTACTACTGTTTTAAGATAGATTTCTAGAAGAGCAGTTAGCAGGGGAACAGCAAAGAGTGTTTCTGTGTCTGTATGTTTTTTTCTTCATGACCTTATCTATAAATATAGATAGGTCTATAGCACTATAAATATAAGTATGCATTTTTGACTTTGTTGTTGGAAAAGTTCATTGATTAAAATGATAAGTTAATTATTAATAAATTATCAACTAGACTAGAGTGCTAATGAGATTATAGAAACAGAATTGAACTCTGCCTTATGGAAGAAAACATCTCCCGTATAAAGAGATTAAATACCCGAAGTCTGACCATGTGGATTGTTGAGTGAGTGACAATGATCACAAAGAAAATGTAGTGACAGCATGTCCCATACTAAGAATGGGGTCTCATGGAGGGCACAGAGATGTCTAGGGAGCATGATCTGGGTTGGGACCACGGGCATGTCCCGTTTTCTAAACCCTGTGTTTATGTGGCAGAAGCTTTGGGTCATATGCCATGTGGTTTATCACAAAGACACGTAACGTGAAGCCAATAAGATGGAAACCTCTGAGGGTGAGACAGGATAACAACCTCACTGTTGTGCTACTGTTTTATTTCCTAACTTCAGAAAGGAGAGGCTGACGCCATGAGCTTGGATGGAGGCTTCATCTACACAGCGGGCAAGTGTGGTCTGGTGCCTGTCCTGGCAGAGAACTACTGTAAGTGGAGGGGAGGTCCCTGTGTTTTCTTCCCTCTGGCCTATGGACATAGGAAGGTGAAGAATAATTTAGTTCAGTGTTGAGATAGCAATAGCAGTGTTTGGAGCATAGAGTACTAGTAGATAACATCTATTTTTCCCAGAGTCAGAACCAGCTAAGATATATGTGGAACTTGGAGAGAAATCAAAATAACACCTTTATTGCTGGAAGAGTCATATTGGAGACCATGGCACAGAACTGGCCACAGGGCTCGTTAAATTGCCCTTGAGTTAGAGTCGCCCACCAGTTCAGGTGGACAGTTCTGGCTGACTGGCTCCATGGCTTAGTACAGAAGAAAACACGTTCTGTCACAGATAAGGAGGTCAAAACCATCCTCTCCCCATTCTCTTCAACGAAGAAAGAGCCACAGGTGCCTATATCCTTTTGCCAAGTTTACTAATCCAAGTACATTCACTCTAGTGGTTAGAACATTGAGGATTGGGGCTACAAGGTCATGGTCTTGGTGGGGATCCATCTACCAGGAAAAATAAAGCTGGTTCATTTGTTAAACCCCTAAGCTGCTAGGCAGTGAGAAACCATACTTTATCCTTCAAAACAAGACAACTCTGTGAAGTAAATAGTGGTATTTCCATAATAACTGAGGCTTGGGGAGGTTGAATGAGGTGTCAAGGGTAGAATGCAGACTGCAGCCAGTCTTTCTGAACCATGGGCTGAACCCTTCCCTTACAACTTAGCAAGACTGTAATGGCTGCCTGCACATCCCAGAGCTCTGAAGGGAAGAATGTCAGGATGACTAGAATCACATAGCAAAGTGAAAAACCTCTGTGAAGGGTTATATGGCTTCTGCTTCCCCCTCACCCCCTTCAATGAGCATTTCATTTTCTTTCTCTGTAGCTCCCCAAGTGTTGAGCTAATTCTGGGATGGAGGCTAATTTCAAATAGCAAAGGTCAGGGGAGAGGAGGTGAAATAGGATGGCAGGATCTCAGCTTGTTGAGGGCCAATTACAAACTGCTTGGTCAGCGTTTCTCCTCATTTTATTCTTGACTGTTTAGAGTGAGAAAATCATGACTTGAGTAATGTGAGAGTTTAATGACCTGTACCTCAATTGTTTTTAGTGTCTCAAGATGGCAAAGAGCAGCTTGGGTCTAAGTGTGTGAACACACCCATGAAAGGTAAGTCAGAATCAGTAACACTGGGGCTCAAAGGTAAAGGCCTATTGTGGGGGAGAGGGGGTGAGGAAAGCCTTAGGAATAAACCAACACTTGTTAAAAAAAAAAAAGAGAGAGAGAGAGAGATGACCCTGCCACAGTTCACTGTGAAGGAGCAAATCTGTTGGGAGCTGTGTAATAATTTCTGTTTGTGGAGCATGTGACAGTGGGCAGAGGGCTCCTGCTTGCACTGCTCCTGCTCAGGTGTCCTCTAGAATGTGGGTGTCGCTGTGTGCGTCGCATAGATGGGAAAGTGAGGCTCAGGGACTGTGTGACTGGCCCAGGGCCACGCAGCCAGCAAGTGGCCGCACCTGGGCTTGTTCAGAGGCACCGTGACGGGAAACCCACTGCCCTTCCTGACCCACCACCGTGCTCCCTGTTACAGGATGCTACCCATCTCTGCAAGGGACAGGAGCCCATTCCTGACGTTTCTGGGGCCCAGTGGAGGCCTCAGAGGAGGAAGGAGCGAGTCATAGATGCTTCTAATGAAGAAGAGGAGGAGGGAAAGGAAATTAACCCTTAGCTTTTAGTGGCTGGCTTTGAATAGCAGGGGAGTCAACCTCCTCTTCAGAATAGGAGGCCAGGTGACAAGTTTTGCCATCTGTGTCATCTCATGGGCAGAAATGGTCTTTATCTGTTTCTGAGGTGCCCTGGGTAATCTAGGGCATTGACTAGAGCAGTGGTTGTGTATGTCATGTGGTGTCTGGACAGTAACCCCATCATCACCTGAGAACTTATTAGAAATGAACTTTCTTGTGTCCAACCACAGGTCTGCTAAGCTCCAGGATGTGGCTGCTGCTCTCTATGTTTTAGCAAGCCCTCAGAATGATTCTGATATGCATTAAACTTTGAAAACTATTGTGATAAGGGGTCTTGAGATGAAAACAAGTGCTTACTTGGGTTTGGAATTTCTTATGAGATAGGAGAGCTAGGGGAGGTGTGGGGGCTTGAAGCATCACAGCACAAGAGTGGGGTCACAGAGGCCCTGCACCACCCATCACCACAGAGGCCTCAGGGGTGCAAAGTCGCTCACCCCACAGCTTCTCCTCTTTGAAGGGAGCAAAATCTGGGATATAGTGTTCCTCTTTCCTCCCTGCTTTCCTGGCTAACAGTGTTCTCTGAATTGGGTCTATATCCCCAACCCCAAGGGCCAGCATATAGTCATTCTGATTATAAAATACATGAAGTCCTAAAGAATTGTAATTGCTTTACGGGTGATTGAAATTTCCAAGAACTGCAGTGATATACAAATGTGGGTCAGTGAGGATGCTTGGAAGACAGTTCAGGGTGACGGAGAAGGTTAGATTGGACTAGAGATGGAGAGGAGTTAATCCCAAAGCCACACACACACACGCATGCGCACACACACACACACACACCCCCCTCAGATGACAATAGTGAATGCCATTTTGTTGAAATTGTTACAGATCAAAGAAAGTTACTTTAACAGGGTTTGGCTGCTGGAATGGTATCATAGAACCCAGTCTGGTAGGCAGGAGAATCTGCTTCACCAAGAAAGTGGCTCTAGTACTACTTCTGCTGCTAGCTACATAGCCAGAAACCTATCCATGTAACCTCCCCTTCCCATTCCTAATGTACAGTATGATCGTATTAGCACATTTCATCCCCTTCAATAGATATTAGTACCTAAATGGGTATTACTCTTATCATTTCATTTACAAGAGATTTAGGATCCTAGATACTGAGTGACTTGTCTGAGGTAGTTTAGTAACTGGTGAGGGAGGTCTTCCACTGCCATGTTAACTTCCAACTTTTCTAGGCTTGAATATATAGACATCTGAACCACAACAGCAAGAAAAGATGTGTGTATGTGTGTTGGGAGGGGGTGGGAGTGGTGGTGGTGAACCACATTACCCATGATTTCAGTCTCTAAATTCAGCCTTGCAGTTTAGGTCTTACTTAACAAGCACAATTCTGTTACACAATACTGTGATAGACTACATCAAATATCAGTGGTGTTCCTATAAAATCAGGAACAAGACAAGACAATATATTTGGCATTATTTTGTGAGTGAATTCAGTAAGAGAAGAAAAAGAGTGTTTTTTTTAAAAATTGAAGAAAGGAAGAGATTAAATTGTCATCATTAGTAAATGGTATTACTATAAATCTAGAAAATCAGAGACTTAACTTTAAAAAGGAAGTCATTAAAGCACTTTCTTTTGGACTTCTACTCAACAGAAATACTCAAACAGGTGGCTTCACACAGTTCTCCCCCCCTGAGAGACTGACAGGTGAAGGTTAGCTGCAGTGGCTCTGGAGTAAATTTTAGGGCGGACCTGGGAGGTACTTAAATTGCATCTTGGTATCTGTTGCAAGGTTATTACGTCGTGGCAGTGGTCAAGAAGTCAGATGCCGACCTAACCTGGAACTCTCTGCGAGGCAAGAAGTCCTGCCACACTGCAGTTGGCACTTCTGCTGGCTGGAACATCCCCATGGGTTTCATATACAATCAAACTGGGTCATGTAAATTTGGTGAGTGTGTTCTGAGTGGCGGTGTGCCTATGGGCCTGTGCCTATGTAGGGGAGAAATTCAGTTCAACGAATGGTATAAGTGGGTGGTGGACAGGGCCTGGATATACACGTGGACAAGCTTCACATCTCCTTAGCAGGACCCCCCTTTCTCCTCCTCTCTTGCTCCTGCAGAAGTGGTTTGGCTCAAAGAGCAGATCTCAGGGAAATACATTACTCTTTATGTCTTTCGTCTGGCTCATGGAAGAGGCCAGTTGGCAAAGCATGAGTGGAGTGTAGAGTGGGTGTAAGTGTGCACGCATAATGTGTGTGGTAGTGTGCATGTGTTGTCTTCCCATTTAAACTTGCTCTCCTTTTTAAGTTTAAAACAGATTTATTTGGGGAGATACACACATACACAGAGTGTGGACGAGAGACCTGAACTTACTTTCTTAATTGAACACGTTATACCAGTATGGTTCAGCTTCACCCTTTGAGTGCTTTAGCTTTCACTTTCACCCTTCACCTCTCTTACATTTCTATATTAGTCATTTCAGCAAGACTCTGGCCATTACCTAAAAGGCTCCTGCTCCTCCAGGAGCTTTCCCTAGCCATATGACAAGTCCCAGCCCTGCAGGAACCGCATCGCCCACTCTGTTGGCACTCTGCACCTGAGCAGCTGAACACAGATGCAGAATGTCACAGGGCTTAGCAACTCATTCCATGCAGATGTTCCAGCCACTGGCCTCAGCATCACCCATACCGCCCCCCCTCCCACTGTAGGCTCACAAGCACCCCTACTGTTCCTCTGCTCCACTCCCCACACTTCCCAGTAATTACCCTAATGTCCTAGTTGTCCATACACCTCCATCCCACTCTCACCTGTCTACCACCCTTTCTGAGCAGATGATCTTGTCTGCTTCTGCAAGAGACACCTGAAGCCAACAGGACGGTTCCCATCAATACCCCACCAACAAAGCCCAGGGCTCCTGCTGGCTGCATCCGTTCAGCCAGTCCTCCTACCCACTTGGCTGTTGGTCCCTGCCTTGACCCCCTCCCCAGAGCTGCACCCTCGGTTTCCATTTCTTCCTCTGGTATATGCAACAATTTCTCTCAACCTGTAAATGCACCCAGTATCAACCTGTAAATGTAACCAACATCTTTCATCTTTAAAAATCCTCCCTCTCCCTACCGTCCCCTCTAGCTCCTAACCTTCTCCTTCTGCCTTTATGGTTAGACCTCTTAAAATCATGGTCTGAGCCATTCACCCCTGCACCCCCTGCTGTGGGTGACTCCCCTGCCTCATTCCACAGGGAGAACTCTGGTCAAGGCTACCAGGACCTCCATGTTGCTCAGTTGGAAGGATGAGCTCCAGTCTGTTCCTCCATGACCTTTCCTTCTTTGAGTCATCTTAAACCACAGCCTCCTGGCTTTTGTGAAAACATACTAGCTTCTTTTTTCTCTTACCCCTACAAAGTCCCTCTTTCCCAACCTGGTTAATAAATGTTTGAGTTGCTTAAGGCAACTTTTTCCCCCACTTTAAACTCAACCTCCAAGCACTCACATCTATGCCTACAGCCTAGATGACCATCTAAACCAATATTATATGTGCAAAGCTAGGCTCAGACCAAGCACTAGATCAATGTTTGCTGTTGTCACTGTTATTGTGTCAATATGCTGACAATGTCAGGTTTTGCCCCTAGCGCGGATTTCTCTCTGATCTCCAAACCTGCATATATTGAACTGCTTGTTTGACATTATCTAATCTTGTATTTCAAAAGTGCATTAAATTTAACCTGTACAAAATAGAATGCATGCTCTCTACCAAGGCTTGTCCTGCCCCAGAGCCACCCAGCTTGCTGGAGGTTCCCAGTCTGTGCACTGGCTCCAGCTGGAAACCAACCTGCCATCATCTCCACATACCCGTCCAGCATGAGATTTCAGCTCTCCTCCCTCCACCTAGCTCCTCCCTCTGCTTCATGTGACTCAAAGCTGCCCTCATGTCCCCTGGACTCCAGCAGTAGCCTGCTGCCTACACCCCACATCTGTCTTGACTCACCCTGCTAGACCCTTGGCCCAACATTATCTAGCCTGTCAGAGACTCCCCATTTCTTTACAAATAAAAAACAAAATGTACACAAAGATATAGACCATCACACGTGGTCTGGACCCTGACCCTTCCCACTCACTGGATCACTGAGTGGCTCAGGCCCAGTGGGCCTCCATTAAGCTCTCTGTGCTGTTTGCCCCCCTCCCCAACCCTTGTCTTAGCCTTTGAAGATGCTGCTCCCTGTCTGGAAAGTGCATCCTTTGCCCTTCACTAGGGTAACCCCTATTCATTCTTCAACTCTCCACTTGAGACCTCTGCCTGACTCTTAGGTCTGTACCAGGCTCCTTTATTTGTAGCTGTGGAGCCATATTCTTTTTCCCAGAGCATGATGGGGAAATACAATTATGGGGAAATGCTAATTCATGGTGTAGTTACTTGAGTTGTGACTGTCACCCCATGAACTCGGGCTCCAGGAGGGCAGGACTTCTGTGGTTTCCTCACAGTGGTGTCCAGGGGCTCAGCACAGGGCTGGGCATTTGGGCCTCTTGGGCTCCTTCCTGTCTTTTGAGTCATAATTGCAGACCTTGTAAAGATGGACAAGGGCAGTAGAGATTGGAAAGCATGCAGGACAGGGTCAACCAACCAAAACTTGCACTTTTGTCCACTCTCCTGGAGTTAAATCCGTGTCCATCCCTCCCCCTGCTGCCCTGTGCCAGGGCTTCATTGAGCTCACAGACCCTTGTCCCAGCTTCAGTCAGGTCCCCTTTACTTTGCTTCAGCTGCAACCTTTTTTCTCTTTCTATTCCATAGGTTCTTATTTCTAATCAGATGGTACTAAACACTTGAATGTGTCTTTATGTCACTTAGGCAATTTTAGGGACAACATCTGAGGCTTTCTTGCCAACACAGGCAGGGAAAGCTAACTTCTGGTGTCCTCCTATGCAGATGAATTCTTCAGTCAAAGCTGTGCCCCTGGGTCTGATCCGGAGTCCAGCCTCTGTGCTCTGTGCAGAGGCAGCTTTAAGCCAGCCCACATGTGTGCTCCCAACAGCCACGAGCAGTACTACGGCTCCAGTGGGGCACTCAGGCAAGTAGCATCTGCCCACTGCCTTTCGCTTTGGCACCAGCCCATTGAATCTCTTGTCCTTTCTCCTTTCTCAGCACCCCACCATCTGAGTGCTACATTTAGGAGGGGCCAGGACTGGAGAACAGGAACTGCAGATTCCCAGGGGCCCTGAGGACTCAGGTCTGGCCCCTTCCTGGAGCACTCTCGGGCAGAGCTGGTGGACTCAGGGCACCTGGGGAGGGGCAAGAATGATAAGCACAGGTCATAGCCCTGCTTCTGCTTTCTATCCTTCCTTTTATGTGACTGTGGACAAGTCACAGGATCTTCCAGAGCCCAGTTTGAGATCAAAGGAAGGACACTGAATATGTGCATTTTACACCTGTTTGATGAGTACATTTAAAAGCACATATTCCTGGGCTCCTCCATTCATTCAATAAATATTTATTGAGCACATAGTATGTGCAGGCGCTGTTCTAGGTAGGTGGGTTAGAGCAGCAGCAAGACATATGGCCCCTGTGTCTCATGGGGGGAGTAAGACAACATATAAAGGACGATCACTTCCTGACTGTGCTAAGTGCCATAGGGTGTGTGTATGGGGTTGTGGGACCGAGGGGTGTGATATGGCAGTACTCAGGGATAATCTTGGAAAAAGGGGTCAGGGAAGGCCTCAGCATCATGGAAGGGCTGTTAAATATTGACAGTTGAGTATTGAAAGGGAATCAGGAGAAAATCTGGAGAAGAATAATCCAGGAAGAAGGAACAGCAAGGACAAAGGCAAGGCTAGACAAATCATGCTGTGTTTGAGGCCAGAAAAGGCCCCAGAGTAGAGGTGGATCCAGGTGAGGGGAGGCTGGGGTTGCAGCCATTGGCTGTTTTGCCCTTGGAGATCTGGCTCAGGAGATAGAGTTAATTATAAGTATGGAGGGCACTCGAGGGTGCTATGGAGTTGGGGTTGTGTGGAGAATGTGGGAGCCTCTATAAAGAAGGCTTCTAGTCATCACATGGCCAGATTACTTTGTCCCACCCTCTCCAAAGTTTTGTCACTTTCATAAACCATACATAAATTACATAGTTTCACAGATCCTACTACATAAATATATGATGAACATTAAACTGAGGGTAAAATATTTGAACTTTTCTTTCCATTGGGATGTGCATCAGTGTTAGGGTCCATGGCCCATTTTGGTATGATTATGATAGCATCACAGAGACCTAGAGTTCTGTCCAGAACCGTGGAAGTTCCATCGTGAAGATGGGGATGCAAAGAACAGTCTTAGATCTAGGCATCTCATTCTCCCCACCACCTCCTGCCTGCCTTGGCTGTGCTTCCAGCTTCCTGACTCCAGCATTCCTACTGACCTGAGATCCATTGATCCTGTTCTCACCCCTGCTATAAACTTTTCCCTCTCCAGTCCACAGCAGACATTCTATAACTAACCATGATAATTATTCCCCTGTGCACATCCTCAAATGCCTGTTGCCTACTCCTGGCTGAACTGCGACCTGGGTTGGGTCCAACATTCCCCTTTGGTGCGGGGTCCTCCAAACTGACTGGCCTCCGTGTAAAGTAATGAGAACCCAGTTCCCATGAGCCAGACCATCTCTAGTCCGTTACCATCCCTCTCTCTTACAAGACCATTCCATGCTCTTTCCTCTCCTCAGTCATCCAACATTTCTTCCTCCATCTATCCCACTTTTGTTTCCTCCTTCACCTGAGAAAACTGAGGTCATCCAGATAGAAACGCCAGTGTACCACTGCCATATCTGGGCATGTGCTAACCTCCGTGCCGGTGGGTATGCTGCCACTCCTTCTCCGGGGGATGAGCAGGCCGACTCCTGCTGACCCCGATCCTGTGCTGGCATCACCTCCCTGCAGCCTGTTGAAGAGCATTGCCCCAGCACGCCTCTCCTCTTCCTCCTGTGTCATCACATCTTATTCTCCACAGAATTACTTCCAGCAGCACGTAGACATGCTACTTCTTTCTCATCCTAAACATAAAGAAATAAGACAAACTTCTCTTGATCTCACTGTCCTCTGTAGCAACCTCCTGTTTCTTCTTTACAACAGAAGTCCTTGACTTAAGTCCTTGAAGGAGGTTATTCTAATGTCCTTCCTCAGTTCAGTTTCTCTCCTTTCAGTCTCCCCCAAACCTAGTTTAAGAAACTGTTCACCTCTCCCTCCCTAACCAGTGGAGTTGGTTTTCATTATTGCATTTAAATTATCTACAGAAGACATTCTTCCTCATTGTTGGCACATGAGAAGATTATTCCCACCACACCTAACCGCCTGCCCCCACATTGACCCCCATCCACCACCATCCACCACACAGCTGAAACTACACTTTTTAAAAATATATTTATTTATTGGCTGCATGGGGTCTTCGTTGTGGCACGTGGGATCCTTAGATGCAGCATGTGACCCCTTGATTCTGGCATGTGGGATCTAGTTCCCTAATCAGGGAGCAAACCTGGGCCCCAGCATTGGGAACAAGGAGTCTTAGCCTGTGGACCCCAGGGAAGTTCTGAAATCATCCTTTTAAATCACCAGGGACCTCTGTGTTGCAAGTAAATCCAAAGCCCAGATCATTGGCACCACCCATCTCTTCCTCCTCTTGGGTACATTATTTTTCTCTGGCTTCTGGACACCACGCTTTCCTGGATTCCCTCCTTCTTCTCCTGTTACTGCATCTCAGCCCTTTTGCTGGTTCTGCTTCATTCCCTGACCTCTACATATTGGCGAGCCCCAGGGCTCCAGCCTTGGTCTTGTCTCTTAGTGCTCAGACTTTAGTGGTTTTATCTAGTTCTTTTTGTTCAGTCGCCCAGTCATGTCCAACTCTTTGCAACCCCATGGACTACAGCACACCAGCCCCCTCTGTTCCTTACCATCTCCTGGAGTTTGCCCAAGTTCATGTTCCTTGCATCGATGATGCCATCCAGCCGTCTCATCCTCTGACGCCCACTTCTCATTCTCCATCTAGTTCTGTATGTTGACAATTCCCAAATTTACGTTCCTCTTCAGACAGCTCTTCAAAACACCAGATGAAACTCCAAACTCATACATCTAACTGCTTACTGGGCATGTCCACTTGGATGTCTAATCACCAGGTCAAGTTTAAATGTCCCAAACTGAGCTTTTGGAATTTCACATGCTCCCACCCAAGCCAGTACCTCCTGCAGTCGTCCCCATCTCAGTTAAAGGAAACTCTGTTTTTCCTTTTGGAAAAAGTCAAAGTCTTGATGTGTATTAACCATATCTACTCTCTTTCTCTGAGACCCCATATCATCATATTATGTTAGCTCTACCTGCAAAGGGTAACGAGAACTGACCTCATCACCCATCTCTGCTGATACCACCTTGATCTAAACCACCATTGTCTCTCCCCGGATTATAACCCCTAACAGAAATCCATGCGTCTGTCCTATCCCCCTCCCCCACCACAGTCTAGCTTCAGCACAGCAGTGAGGGTGATTGTCAGCCCAGTTCAGGGGAAATCTTCCTGCTCACACAACTCATGCCCTAAAGTTGTGTTGTAAAATCCTAGCTGCCTCCAGTATGACCAGGTGGATTGAAGGGGATGGGGAGGCCTAATCAGAACTCAAAAAATATTAACACTTGGTAGACCAAATAAGAGCCAAGAATTAAAAAACAATGTTACACAAAGGGAATTTTGTGTTCTCAGATATAAAAATCACATTACAGTGCTACTTAATACCGTGATCAGTACAGGCTGGTTTATGTGATGACTGACAAATCAGTGGAAAAGACTTCCAAAGCAGATACATAGACATATTATGTTTAGTCTAAAACAAAGATGACAATTAAGATCATTGGAGAAAGGATGGACTTGGGACATCAAATAAAACAAGTACAAGGAACTGGATCTGGTGACCCAGGCGGGAGCAGATTCAATAGTGAGTCAGTCCCCAAAGATGACTGGCAAGGGTCAGGGACTCATGTGCAGGAATGCTGATGATAAGTGCTATGATGCTCTTGGGTGTTTGCATGACTTTAGGGGAGAGGCCCATTGCTAAGGGCAGTGTAGGGTCAAGGCAAGGCTTAGTGTTTGTTTATTTTTTTAAAAAGAAGCATAAGTGCTGATGGAAAGAGCCCAGTGAAGAGGGTGGTAGAGGGGAAAGAGGATGACTGCCGTGGAAAGTGCCTGAGTGTGGGTCGAGGTGGGGTGCAGAGACCCTGGGGAGGAGACTTTAGCTGGAGGGAGGCCTTCCCTCCTCCTTTGTCCCTGGAGGGCAGGGGAGTGCTAGAGTCTTGGGCTGCCAGATTCGACAGAAGGATGCTGAAAGGAAGCCCGCACTATGATCTCTCTCTTTCTTCTGCGAAGCCCGAGTACATGACAGAGTGTAAGTGTTGTGGAGGGGTGTATGGAGAGACAGAGGTTTACAGGAAGTGGGAGAACATTTTGGGGTCCCTGCTCTGTAGAGTGGCTTACCTGGTGGCTCAGACTGTAAAGAATCAGCCTGCAATGCGGGAAACTTGGGTTTGATCCCTGGGTTGGGAAGATCCCCTAGATGAGGGCTCCAGTATACTGGAGAATACACTCTAGTATTCTTGCCTGGAGGATCCCCGTGGACAGAGGAGCCTGGTGGGCTGCAGTCATGGCGTCAAAAAGAGTCATGGGGCTACTGTCTCAGGCAATGTTCTCTCATACTGATTTGAGCACACTCCCACAGGGCTTATTCAAACCCAGAGGGCTGAACCCCATTCCAGAGTTCCTGAGCCACTGGGTCCAGGGCCCAAGAATGTGCATTTCTAACCCGTTCCCAGGTTGCTGATGCTGCTGGCCCAGCCCACCCTTGGAGAGTCACAGGTCTAGAGTAGAGAAGGGATGCCAGAATGCCCGCGTGAAGTTAAGGATCGGGGAGCTCTCGTCTACCTCACTGCTGAGGTGCAGACACACCTGAGACAGACGATTGGGCTCATTCAGGACTGGGATTATTGGGGGGAGGTTGTTAAGACAAAGAAATAGGACAAGATTGCTTATGAAAATTGATGGGAGTAACTGATTCTAGTGAAGGATAGAGGGGCCTGATGATGGGACAGAGAAAACTGGAGAGGTGTTCCTAAAAATTAATAATATCAATTTCTAACTGACTGAATGTCACAAAACTGACCTTTAGTGTGCTCAACGTTTCTCCCAAAGCATGCACCTTGAACACTGAGAAACATTTTTTAGGAGATTAAGCATGAAAAATATCTCGTGATACATACACATTAACTTTTGTTAAGGCTGCGCAGACACATAAGGTGTGACAAGGCTCCTTCAGAATCACATCTTCCACGCTGATTTTAATCTCTGATGTGAGTTTTGATCCAGCCAGAGAATTATCTTTGGATAGCCCTGTTAATAGAACACAAGCGTCTCCTGTGGAGAAGCCAATCACTGTTTAAGGAAGCAAGAAGTGGGTATCTACAGTGGAATCTAAATAAGCAGATTTCTTTTTCTATGACATTTCTTCTGAAGTTGCCAGGGACAGCAGACATTACAGCAGTGTGTGTGGAGTAAGCAGGCCCAGTAGATGTGCCCAGTTGCCTGGGCGAGGGCGGGGAGCTCCCAGGGATTCCGTCTTGGAGCTGCTCTCTCCCACCTCTGTGGGTCCCCTTTGCTGACCTCACCTTCTCTTTGCAGGTGTCTGGTTGAGGAGGGAGATGTGGCCTTTGTGAAGCACCCCACAGTCCTGCAGAACACTGATGGTATGCACCTGCACTGTCCTTTCCTCCCTCAGGAAAACTCAGAGTCCTTCCTGGGAAATCACTCCCCAGGCAGTCACATTGGTCCTAGCATTCTTTATTTAGGGAATGAAAAAATTCTTCATCTCTGCTCAGACTGGACAGGGTTTGTTATCACATTGACCTTGAACCCAACCAACAAACACAGAAAGGCCATAGTCCATAGAAGCACGTCTGGCTATCTTGATTTTTAGGTGTTCTTTGTATTTTCTGGACACAAGTTTTTGTCAGCTGTATGTAATGCACATAGCTTGTCCCTCTTTGAAATTACTTGCCTTTCACTTTTTTTTTTTTGGCCATGCTGCGAGGCTTGTAGGATCTTAGTTCCCCACCAGGAGTTGAACCTGGGCCCAGCAGTGGAAGCCTAGAGTCCTAACCGCTGAACCACTAGGGAATTCCCTGCTTTCTTAATAATGTCTTTTGATTAATATTCTTCATTTTCATATAGTTTAATCTGTCGATCTTCTCTTTTTTGACTAGCACTTTTCAGGCCTGTTGAGGAAATCTTTGCCTTTAACAGGACTGACAAATGAATTTATGAGTTTATGAATGTTTCTCTTCTGTTTTATGGTAAAGGCTTTATTGTTTTGTTTGTGCCTTTGTGGTTCTCCTAGACACTGGTGGTCAGTCACACCCCCCAGTGAGGGTGCCTTGACTGAAGCGATTAGCTATGACCTCTCCACCTCCTCTCTCTCCAGGAAAGAACCCTGAAGCCTGGGCGAAGAATCTAAAACACGAGGACTTCCAGCTGCTGTGCCTCGATGGCTCCAGGAAGCCTGTGACTGAGGCTCAGAGCTGCCACCTGGCCACAGTCCCAAGTCATGCTGTGGTCTCAAGGAAAGATAAGGCAGATTTTGTTCGCAGAATGCTCTTCAACCAACAGGTGTGGGAATTCAGTCCTCATCCCCTACATGAATGCTCAGCTCACTTGCAGAGCTGCACAGACACGCCCCAGCCCAGTTGCACACTCTTTCTCCCTGGGCAATGGAGCCTGCCTCTGATGAAAGTGGGAGGCTGGTGGCTGTGCTCACTTCTTGCTCTGGGGCTGTCTAGGGTATCCCAGTGGAAGAGTCCAGACACATGGGCATCTCAGGTGTCTCCCTGAGACTGAGCAGAGTCATGGTACCTCCTGGGCTGTTCTGTCCTGGAAATAAGGGAGTCAGCCCAGGTGCCCTTCCCACCAGGCAGGGCTGCATGTGGGAAAGGTGGAACAGAGGTTACTCTGCCTGACCAAAAGAGGATCTCACTGTGTTTCTTGAAACTGGGCAGGCTGAGCACTGTTTTGGGCTTCATGAAAGTCAAAGAGCCAACATTCAGATAACTTATGACCTCTATAGGCAGCCAAAAAGGGCTGACCCTAGGGAATAGTGGCTGCCTGAATCAGAAGATCTTAAGGAACCCAAAGCCCCGTCTGCCTTTTACCCTAGCATACCTTATTCCTGGAGGAGCCCCAAATGAGTAATCTATATCTTAGCATAGGCTGTTGACACATCCTGCTTAAAGGGTGATGACCCAGAGGCTGCTGGCAACACAAGAGGCTCTTGGACTTGGGCTTTTGAAGGGATGGTTCCATCCAGGGTGAGCTGCCACCTCTGCTACAACGGAAGTGGACAAAGGAAGTGGTGGGGGAGGGGCAGGAAGCAATGGAAATGATCAGTGTGTGGGTCAGGTTCAGAGAACAGAAGATGCAAGGTAGGAAGGGATCTGGTCACAGAAAAACATGTAAAGATGACTCAGAGAGTTGAAAACATCCACCAGTTGTTGGTGGGATAGTAATAGAGCAGTGAACTTGGGGCTCTTTCTGTTTAACAGTTGCTTTACATACATTGGGCTTCCCTGTATTCTTTATCAGGTAGTAAAGAATCTGGTTGCAATGCAGGGGATGCAGGTTTGATCCCTGGATTGGGAAGATCCCCTGGAGAAGGAAATGGCAAACCACTCTACTATTCTTGCCTGGAAAATTTCATGGACAGAGGAGCCTGGTGGGCTATAGTCCCTGGGGTCCCAAAGAGTCAGACACAACTGAGCATGCACACATACAAAATGAAGTTCACTGAGCTCAGACAAGAATTTTCTTAAGTCACACAATAGGAAAAGCTAGGGCCTGGCTTTGAACCCAGAGAACTTTTTGCCATTTTGCTCCAGTGCCTCCTAAGCTGTTGCTGTGTGCCAGGGTTGCCAGGCACTGGAGCTGAGCAGTCCAGCAGACTTGGGGCTTCTGATGCAGAACACGTGGCCCGGGCTGCTGGTCACTCGCTTTCTGTCTGTCTGTCTGACCCAGGAGCTCTTCGGAAGAAATGGGTTTGAATACATGATGTTCCAGATGTTTAAATCCCCAGCCAAGGACCTGCTCTTCAGTGATGACACAGAATGTCTGGCTAACCTTCAGGACAGAACAACTTACCAAAAATACTTAGGGCCAGAGTATCTTCAGGCTATTGCTAATGTGAGACATTGCTTACACTCAGGTGAGTAGAATAAACACAAAGGAGTAGTAACATGTGCGTCAAGGCAAACATGTTTGTCTTAAGGATGACCTTGTGCCAAGACTGGGCTGGTACCAATAGGAGCATAAAGATTCAGAGGGCTTGCTCCTAGCCCCACAGGAGGATTCAGGCTCACCAGGAAAGCAACTCAATTAGGCAACAGTATAAGATACTACCTGAAAAGGCTGAAATGTTTGAAGGAGACAGAGGGTACAGTAGAACTAGAGATCTTTTGCAAATTGAACTTGTTTACATGTCCTTTTCCATTTTCGTTGGCTACTAGAATGAAAATGTGTGTTAGCATTTCAGTGTAGGGAGAAGGTTGGAAATGACACATATATACCACTCACAGAGGACCAATTCACAAAGATTTTAAGTAAAATGTATAGATAATACTTTATACAATTTAATAGAAACAAAGTATTAGCACTAAGTAGGCCATTTCTACATATATACATATATAGAAATAGCACTAAGTATATCACTTCTCTCTATTTTTGTGTATTATAGAAATGGCACAGCTGCCTCAAAAAGAAATAAGTTGGAGAAATAAAATTAGACATGGAGTAATCAAATTATTGGGAGTGTGCCTGAATTCTTGTTAAATTATATCATGTCTTAAAGATGAGGAGAGCAGGAGAGGAAAATGCAGATGTTTAAGAATAGCACTTTCTAAATTCCATATGTATGTGTTAGTATACTGTAATGGTCTCTATCTTTCTGGCTTACTTCACTCTGTATAATGGGCTCCAGTTTCATCCATCTCATTTGAACTGATTCAAATGAATTCTTTTTAACGGCTGAGTAATATTCCATGGTGTATATGTACCACAGCTTCCTTATCCATTCGTCTGCTGATGGGCATCTAGGTTGCTTCCATGTCCTGGCTATTATAAACAGTGCTGCAAAGAACATTGGGGTGCACGTGTCTCTTTCAGATCTGGTTTCCTTGGTGTGTTTGCCCAGAAGTGGGATTGCTGGGTCATATGGCAGTTCTATTTCCAGTTTTTTAAGGAATCTCCACACTGTTCTCCATAGTGGCTGTACTAGTTTGCATTCCCACCAACAGTGTAAGAGGGTTCCCTTTTCTCCACACCCTCGCCAGCATTTATTGCTTGTAGACTTTTGGATAGCAGCCATCCTGACTGGCGTGTAATGGTACCTCATTGTGGTTTTGATTTGCATTTCTCTGATGTCCAACTAATAAAAATAAATGAAAAAAAATGTAAAAAAAAAAAAGAAAGTGAAAAAAAAAAGAATAGCACTGAGGTCAGATGGAGTGATGAGAGAGAAATTTAAAAAAAAAATCTTTATTATCTACCATTTACTTTTAGAAAATAGGAAAAGGATCATGTTTAATAAGCACAGGCAGTACCTGATGATCTTTCTCTTATGTTACCTCTCACAGAACTTCTGGATGCCTGCACATTCCATGGAAATTAAAAACTGATCAAAGTGGGCAAACACAGAGATGTTCAGAGCCTGAAAATACAGTGGGGTTACATCCTCACTTGTCTGCCTGGTGGGTCTGTGTTAATATCACTTGTCATTATAATTATATACTGTAACTGATGCAAAAGTTGGAATGAATAAAAATTGTTGTGTCTTCTCAGAAAACTTCATGAAATGTTCTCAGATATTTTGGGGGAGGGCAAGAGAACGATTTCTTTATACTACAATTGTGCTTGTGAATTTAGTATCTATTAAATTATATGTATTTTAAAGACCTCTACAAGACTAACTCAACTTCCCTGTCTATTCTTTGATTATTTTACCCAAGAGTCAACTCAGTTAAATTGAATTTAAGCAATAAATCTGTCTGAAGGGAGTCTGAGTGGTGATCATAAGTGTGCAAAGAAAGCGTATGCACAGTATCAAGGACTTACATAATGAAAATAAAGAAGAAAAAATGAGTTTTTGCATTTTAAAAGTATATTCATGTATTTAAAATTCACAATTTCAGGTAGAATTAAACTCCTGATCAGATTAATTGAAAAATATCAAAATTACTATAAAAATCCAATCCTACTATCCTTCCTCAGTCAATTTCCTGAAAATGTGATTTAAATTTACTTAAGTGAGTTTCTTATCAGAGATTTTCCCATTTCTGTTATTACCATGATTCCAGCCTATGGTGGAATAAACACTGTATGGGAACCCAAGTTATATACTATGGAGTACAGTTCGGTGTTTGGACCTCTGCCTCTGCCTGTGAAAGAGTAACCAGTACAGAATTTGCTCCTCTTCCATAAACAACTAAAAAACTGGGGGAAAATAGGTTGCACAAATGTTTTTAAACACTGGGCGATAATAATGCAGGACTATATGATCCTTGAAAGAGGGCAAAGAAAAGTGGTGAGCACAGTGATGACCATAGCCTTTGCCTAGAGGAAATTTCCAGATGACAGCAAATGGAGAAGGAACCCACAGCAGCCCATCACGTTTGAGTTGAGGAACAGAGATAGGAGTTGGGGAAGCCAGAGTGACTGGAACTTGACGCATACATCAAGAAATACGTACTGGAATCTGCTTGAAATGCTTGGCCAGATACGAATCTGCCTGTGTGTAAAATGAAACTGAAGTCTGTCAGGCTAGGCAGAGAATGACTGTGAGAGATCTAGAAGTTGAACAATGCCCAGGGCTCCCATAAGACCAGGAATCAGTTACGGCCCTACCAACCAGTCTGAAGAGACCTCACTGAACACGTAAGCTTTTCACTGAAGGCAGCTGGGGTGAAACAGCTGTAGATTAAGGCCTGCTCCATAACTGTCCTTACTGAGAGTGATACTAGCCCTAGCAGGATAAACCAGATCTGCAAGTCACTTGACTGTCCCCTAAAATAAACCTCAATATTCACTAAAGGAATACAACAACATCTCAACAGGATGGCATGCATAATATCTAGATGTGGCATGAGAAGATTGTAGGTTGTGTAAAGAAGCTCAAAATGTGACCTAGAGTCATCAAAAAATCAACCAATGGAAACACACCTAGAAACCACAGAGATGATGGTATTCAGACAATGAACTTTAAACAGTTGTAATAAACAGGCCTAAGGATTTAAATGAAAACTTGAAGGAGAATATCCTGCATTCTAATGATTGGGACTCTGCCCTTTCACTGCCAAGGGCCTGGGTTTGCTTCCTGATAGGGGAACTAAGATCTTACAAGTCACACAGCCAAAAATAAATAAGCAAATAAATGAATGAGTGAATAAATAAATGAACATAGCAAAAAAAAAAAAACCTGTTAGATTTAAAAAGGAACTGGTGAAAAATATGCAGTGGCAAAGTTTGTGTTTCGAGGAATTTGTCTATTTTTGCCATAAAATTGTTCAAAATATTTTCTTATTCTTTTAGTATTTATGAGATGTATCTCTTCTTTCATTTTTCTTACTAGTAATTTGTATTTTCTCTCTTTTTTCTTGACTCATGTACCTATTGCTTTATCATTTTCTTGAACTTTTCAAAAATGAATTTTTTATAAATTTTCACTACTATTTTTTAATCTCACTTTCTGTTCTTAGCCTTCCTTCTACTTATTTTTCATTTAATTTTCCTTTTTCTCTTAGATTCTTAAGGTGCAGGCTTAGATAAATGTTTAGAACATTTTATTTTTCTAATGCAGGCACTTAAAATTATAAATTTCCATCCAAGGACTACTTTAACTGCATCCCCTAAATTTTGATATGTTTATTTTCATTATCATTGAGGTGAATTTTTTTCTAGTTTTTCAAAGATTACTTCTTTGATCTGTTGGTTATTTAAAAGCTATTTTTAATTTTCAAATATTTGGCAATTTTCCAGATATGCTTTTGTAATTTATTTCTATGTTCCAGGTATACTTTTTTTTTTCTTAATAGATATTCTTAATTGCGTGGTATAGTTCTGTAATATGTAGCTTAGTATTATAAGTAGCAGTTAGGTCAAGTTGGTTCAAGTTATTATTCAAATCCTCTGCCTTGACTCATTTTCTATCAACTTTTTGCATTAGCTACTGAGAGAAAAGGGTTAAACTCTCCACTAAAAGTATGAATTTGCTCCTTTCTCCATGCAGTTTGATCAGATTCTGCTTTATATATTTGGAGGTTTTGTTAGATACATACCCATTTAGGATGTTAGGCTTTCTTGATTAATTGACTCTGTTACCATTATGAAATGTCCCTAGTTGTCCTGTAACACTTTTTCTCTTTGAGTTTATTAATTGGATATTAATATGACTCTTTCTTCTGATAGTTTTTTCTTGGTTTATTGTATTACATTCTTTTACTTTTAATCCACGTTTCTTTCTATTAAGGAGGGCTTCTTATAAAGAACATATAGCTTTTTTTTTTATTCAGTGTGACATTCTTTTTTCTTTTAAATGAAGTGTTTAGTTCATTTGTATATAACATAGTTGTTGATATTTGTTTTCTGTCTCACTGTTCTTCGTTCCTTACTTCCTCTTTTCTGCCTTCTATTGGATTAATTGAATAATTTTTAGTATTCCACTTTTCTTCTCTATTAGTTTATTATTCTATATTGGTTTATTATAATTTTATTTCTTTGTTCTATAATAATTTTATTATTTTTATAAATAAAAAGATATTTATTTTAAATATTTTCTTGAAAGTTTGTAATACACATCTTTATCTTCTTAAGACTGGCATCAAAGAACTTTATATCACTTTGTAAATAACATATTGGGTTGGCCAAAAAGTTCATTTAGGCTTTCTGTAACACCTTATTTTTGGCCAACCCAGTAAGATCCTGTAATAGTGTGGCTCTACCTTCACCAGTGGGGTGTGGATAAACTTTTAACAACCAGATGTTCAAGGTAAAAAAGGCCCAGATTGGTATCATTTGCCAGTTTCACAGAGCACATTCTCTTGCCATGGATGATTTCAAACTATCAAAGTAATGTCGGAGATGAGAAGAGATACACAGTCAACCTTTGCAAGCCAGCCCAGGCTAGCTGCACCACCTCCCTGACTTCCCTGTTTTAATTTTTGTGCTTTTATTATCAGACATTTTACTCTCACATATGTTAGAAACTCCACAATAAAATATATACAAAATAATAAAAGTGATATTTTTACATCAAGCCATCAATTACCTTTTAACGATATTTTAAAATGAATTTGAAATAGCTCCAGCTGCTATTTCAAATCCTAAAAGATGATGGTGTTAAAGTTCTGCACTTAATATGCCAGCAAATTTGGAAAAGTCAGCAGGGGCCACAGGACTGGAAAAGGTTAGTTTTCATTCCAATCCCAAAGAGAGGCAATACCAAAGAATGTTCAAACTACTGCACAGTAGCACTCATTTCACATGCTAGCAAGGTAATGCTCAAAATCCTCCAAGCAAGGTATCAACAGTACATGAACTGAGAACTTCCAGATGTACAAGCTGGATTTAGAAAAAGCAGAGGAACCACAGATGGAATTGCCAACATCCGTTGGATCATAGAAAAAGCAAGAGAAGTCCAGAAAAACATCTACTTCTGCTTCATTGACTATGCTAAAGCCTTTGATTGTGTGGGTCATGACAAAGTGTTGAAAATTCTTAAAGAAATAGGAATATGAGACCATCTTACCTGTCTCCTGAGAAACCTGTATGCAAGTCAAGAAGCAACAGTTAGAACTGGACATGGAGAAACCAGTCTAACAATGGTTAGACTGGTTCAAAATTCAGAAAGGAGTACATTAAAGTTGTATACTGTCACCCTGCTTATTTAACTTATATGCAGAGTACATCATGCAAAATGCCAAACTGGATGAAGCACAAGCTGGAATCAAGATTTCTGGGAGGAATATCAATAACCTCAGATATGCAGATGACACTACCCTTATTGCAGAAAGTGACGAAGAATTAAAGAGCCTCTTGATGAAGGTGAAAGAGGCTTAAAACTCAACATCAAAAAACTAAGATCATGGCATCCAGTCCCATCACTTCATGGCAAATAGGTGAGGAAACAATGGAAACAGCAAAAGATTTTATTTTCTTGGGCTCCAAAATCTCTGCAGATGGTGACTGCAGCCATGAAATTAAAAGATGCTTGCTCTTTGGAAGAAAAGCTATGACAAACCTACACAGTGTATTAAAAAGCAGAGACATTACTTTGCCAACAAAGGTCCATATAGTCAAAGCTATGGTTTTTCCAATAGTCATGTACGGGTGTGAGAGTTGGACCATAAAGAAGGCTGAGTGCCAAAAAATTGATGCTTTCAAACTGTGGTGTTGGAGAAAACTCTTGAGATTCCCTTGGACTGCAAGGAGATCAAACCAGTCAATCCTGAAGGAAATCAACCCTGAATATTCACTGGAAGGACTGATAGTGAAGTTGAAGCTCCAATACTTTGGCCACATAATGTGAAGCGTGGACTCGTTGGAAAAGGCCCTGATGCTGTGAAAGATAAAAGGCAGGAGGAGAAGGGGACAACAGAGAATGAAATGGTTGGAATG